GTAGTACTTCACGAAACTCGCCAATCAGTTTTGGAAGTAGTGGAGGAAGGAGGGACTGAGAGACCTGGGGGACGTCAACCGGGATGTCTCGTTTGTCCAGGTGTCTGTGCGGTATCGGGAGTGGTAGGTGTGACGGGAGAGTGTGGAACCTTGGTCTCCCTTGTTGTATACACTCTTACGACAGTAACTGATGTCAAGTCGGAAGTTATGGTAACACGGGAGGGTTCGACCAGTAGTTCGGAGTCTCTGGAGCCCGAGTTGTCGCGGGAGGAGCACTGACGCTAGGACTTGAAGGACTGCCCGTCTGGGGGTCGTCACGCCCACCCTTTGTAGTGTAAGGATGTGGGGACTAGGAGTTGTTGGTCATAGGGAGTTCCGCCGCCACGAGTCGGAGAGGAGATGAGGGACAAGTGAGTGCCTGACGCACCGAGGTTGTTGGTAACACTTCAAACGACTGCTGTGCTGGCAGTAGCCGGTCTAAGTGTCTGCCGCATGTCTCTCCTCCGGCTTTTGTACTGTAGAACCACGGGTTCCTATTGTTGGAGTTAGAGTTGCAGTCGTTTGTGTTCCACGCCTAACACCTAATGTCCTTCTCGTCGTCGCTCTCTCCTGTGCGGGGGTAGCGGTAGTTACCCTGATACTCTCTCGTCAAGTCGTCGAAGTCCCAAGGAGACCCCGTGGTAGTGACTCCTGGACTGTACCTGAGAGGTGTGGTGGTGGTAGTGGTTTTTTCACCATTGAACAATGATTTTACACCGCCAGGAGGTGCGTTGAGATTGGTGGTACGCATGCGTGATTCGTGGTTTTTGCCCTCTCTTCTCTTGACCGCTGGTGGCAACCGTCTTCCTCTTACTCTCCTTATACACCTTTATTATTGGTATTTATTTTACAATGGAGAGTATTAGTATATGTCATACTTCTTAATTACAAGTGTGTAACTAACTCGGTTAGAGTTTTACTAATTTGTTTGCGGAAAACTCTGAGGAGTCAGTGGTGTTTTTGTA